GGCGTTGTGTTTGTTTTTGCGTGCAGCTCAGAAGGACAGGGCAAACTGATAGAAGGACAGATCAGATAAATATTATTTTAGATTAGTGCTGGGTAATGATTAAGTTAAAAGCTAAAAAGGACAGATTAAAACAAATTAATTGCATCCAAAATAAAGGTTTTTATGTACATAATATATGTGTGTATTGTGTATATTTATTATGTACATATAAATACACACACATACATGTATATATTTAAGATAAATAGGATATGTTTATATATTAAATATATTTAATTTTAATATAAATTATATGAATATAACTATATACATGTAAAAACATGTAAATATTTTCTAAATATATACTGTATGTGTGTGTCTTTATATATATACATAATAAATACACACAGTACACACATATATTATGTACACAAAAACATTTATTTTGGATGCGATTAATCACGATTAATCGTTGCCCAGCACTATTTTTGATGCATAACTGTGATACCGGTTTATTGTTTTAACTGATACATCAACCGCTCCTAATTACCGTTCTGCTTATTGATCTTAAAGAATTCTATTACATGACTTTACTTCTAGAGCATTGGTTCTCAGGGACTGAGCAAACTTCCAAGGGGGCCTCAACATGACTTAAAAGAACTAAAAATAAGTCAAAACAAGCTAAAAGAAATAAAAATCAAGATATTTCTTATTTTAATTAACCCCCTCGACAACAGGTTCTTTCCTTTGAAAAACCAAGGTTCCCGCAATCTTGAAAAACTTAGATATATAAAATAAAAGTGGAAATATGTTTTTGTGTTCAAATCTAAGTGAACGACTTGTGTCTTATCAAACTGAACTCATTTCCATCCGCTTATCCTCTTCATTCACCAAAGGCTTCCTCACAGCTGCTGATTCTTTCTCCCTCTCTTCAGTGGAAGCTGACAGAAAATGCAGAGACAATGAGCGAAATTTAAAAAAGAGAAAGAAACAGTGATGCTACCTATACATCTAAATATACAGTGCTGGCCACCAGCTAAAAAATGGTTTTAAGTCAGTTATTTCTATCTTTTGCTGTATAGGGTGTCAGTAGGAAATATCAGTTTACATTTCCAAACATTCATTTTGCCATTAATTGTAATAATCCAGTGAGATTTTTGTCTGACAACAGCCAGTGCTGCACACAGAGATCTGATCTGATCTTCATCAGTCTGTCTGGAATCACATGAAGAAACAGAACAAACTGACACAGACTAAATCCAGAAGAACTGTGGCAACGTCTCCAAGACGCGTCAAGAAACCTACCTGCAAAGCTTCCTGAAAAACAATGTGCAAGTGCACCTAGGGCAAAAGCTGCTTTAAATGCAAAGGATGCTCACACCAAATGTTGATTTCATTTAGTTAATAAAAAAGTTAATTGACAGACATGCTCACTGAACATAAACTGTTCCCGTTGGGGTTTATTTTGTTATAATCACCAGCTGACTACACATTTTCCCTTACTTAATGCATAGAATACAGGAAATAATTACCCCTGTCATTCCTGGATATAAAGACTATTAATGAACATCTTAAGATCTATAGGGATGTGCGATCTTTATCATCTTTGATATCAATTATTGTTTTACAGTTGTGTGAGCTGACTCTGAGTCTGTCACTCAAAATAAATATTCAATTTTTCCATCCAATAAATATATGTAGCCCCAACTCATAAAAAACAAATTAATGCGATGAAATGTAAATGAACTGAGCCAAGTCAATTTGATCATATAAAGTTTAAATGAAATTGATGAAGTGATCTTTTTATGCTTGTTGAACTCAAACTAAAACATTTAACTGGAAAGTAAATTATTTGGCAGACATCCTTCTACACTCAAAGAAATAAAATAAAAAATTCAATAATTAAAGGATACATAGAATTAGTTAACTTCAGGCATTAGTCAACTTGTTAGACATAACCATAAAATGGTTTCATTACATTCATAACATGCACAAAATAATTGTTTTTACTACTAATTCATCTTTAATGTATGCAAGCAGGTCCTCAACCCAAGCACATGCTCTACACTTCACCACAATGGTAACCCCCAAAAACACTAACATACCAGAAACTGTTTTAAATACAAACATAAAAGAGCATTAAACATTAACAAGTCTCCCAATTTTATCATCTTAATAAAAAATGCCTAAAATAAAATTTTATTTAAACATTTATCAAGCCCTGTGCAAAGCATGATGGGAAGGGGAAATCCACTTCCTAGTTGCACAAGTAAAATTGTTTATGTACTCTCAACTCAAATGATTTAAGTAAAGTGGTTGTAAAGAATTGTGTTGGATTAACTTAATTTTCTTAAGTAAATTGAAGTAAAGCATCAAATGTTATTTTTGGTCTACTTAATTTAAACATGTTCTTTTAAAATGAAAATATTGAGTTGAACCAAAACGCAACTGTTTCAAGTCAGTTTAACACAATGCAATTGTTTAAATGGGAATCCTGACATAATGGTGTTAAATGAAAATAATTTTTTTTATTAAACTGAACAGTGTTGGAGAATCTTTTTTTGGGGGGGGAGTGTATAAAATGCAAAACGTATCCCTGTATGAGTTTTAGTTTTTCATATTTATAAGATACTGTGAAGTATTATCACACAAGCAAGAGTGATATGTGATATCAATTTTATACAAAAATTTTGTTCAACAAATATGAACTTAATATAGAATGAGTTACATTTTAGACACAATTTTGTCTGTTTCACCAGCTAAAATAGTTCCAAATAAAGCTGGAGGCAGATATTTGTGCGTCTCATAGCAACACTATGGCGTTTCATTCATGAGTGAATCTCTCTTAGAATGAATTGAGTGAGTCAATAATTCTATGATCCATTCATAAAGACAGTGGCAGCGTCCAAAACCTTCTCTACTATATAGTAGGGGAAAAGCAGTAGGCGAGCGAATAAGTATGTCCGAATCCTTAGTATTCATAAAAGAGTAGGCGAGAATTACCTGGGTGATGTACTAATTCTCGCGAGATTCGGACGTGTGTCTACTTAAAGTGCATCCGAAAATGCCTACTTACCTACTATATAGTAGGAGACATGAGTATGTGAAGAAAGTATGTTCGAAACCTCGGTATTCATGAAAGAGTAGGCGAGAAATCCCCGGATGTCCTACTGCTTCAGTCCAGATTCTGAAGTGCTCATCGATGGATACTTGTCTATCCCAGGAGAGAAGGGTATAACTGCAGCCTGGAGATCTCCAAATGGGGGCGGGAACTCCAAAACGGGGTGGGAGCTCCAAAATAGGGCGTGGCTTCCTCCCATTGACAGACAGACACATGACACGCATGCGCACTTTTTCCCACAATCCACTTCAGTGCAAACTCCGCCCCACAGCTGATTCTAAAGATTTTATTGGTTGTGTCAATTAAAGTGTTGATTTCCTACACTATGCTACAAAAAATGAGAAGTGTCTGTCTGCGGACTGCAAGAAAGGGGCGTAACTGGAAGGGGGCGTAACTTGAAGTTGTCCAAATCACACAGAACCACGCGAGATGTCAAAACGAGATGTTGTCGGGCTGCGTTCGAAACCGCATACTCTCTTAAGTTATAGGCACTTAATTTCATTAAGTAGTACTTACTTACTGAGCGCTAAAAGAACATACTCTACAGCCTGAATGCGTTAAGTATGAATGCGATTCGGATATCATCCGCTATGTTGACGTTATCATGTGACCTACGATGTTATAAAAAGGGCAACAACGAGTGACCGGTTTAATTCATCTATCTGTAAGTATCTTGCTAATGATGAAACTTGCCCATTTTGTGGTCTTTTCGAAGAAACAGCTGCCCTTTTTTTTTGTGATTGTAGTATAGCCAATACATTTTGGGTTGCTTTAAGTTCTTATATTTTTAACTCCACTAATGTGATCCACAGTTTTATCCTTAAAGCATTTTAAAAAATTTTATTACGAAAACCCCAAATTGTTATCTCTTTAATATTTAGTTTATTAATTTTATGTGCAAAATGTTTTATCCACAAGCAAAAGTGGCTTAAATCTCCTTTGTTTTATTCTTTTTCTTGTTGAATTTAACTCTCGTTTCATCCCTCAGGCTTCGAAAAAAAAGCATCATGATGAATTATTCAAAGATATTTAACCTTGTCACTGTGCTTTTTTTCTGTGTATATTATCTCATACTATGATGAACACATTCATTTTTTTATACCATTATGATTGTTCATTGTTAGATACAACCATCTTTCCCTGATCTTTTATGTAATTATAAGTTCGGCAATAATAATAATAAAAAAGAGGGACAGGTGCACTAACACTTCATAGCATCACTAACTCAACGATCTAGTATGGTTTTCCTCAGCGTTTGCAATATCTGCACAAAGGATACGTCGGGCAGCTGCTCAAAGATCTAGCCTTTGGAGAAGACTGTTGATTTTATACTCTAAAAATGTAAGTATTACTACTTAAACATTAAGATTACCCCAGAATGAATTGCATCGTTTGCCCACCCCAACACTTACATGCAATAATAATGATAAATGCTAACCAATAATTATATTACTTTTTTTTTTTTACTTATAATGACATTTTAGTAAAACAAGCTAAATTTATTTTTTGTCGTGACATAGCTATACATAAATATACACTAGTTGAACAAATGCAGTCGATGTGAATATATAAATTTTCAGTCAAGCAATTAATACATTAATTAATAAAATATTTATATTTTATTTACTGACAACAAGAAACATGAATAAATAAGTAAAGGAATGAATAAAAGTAAGCATCACAATAAATACATACATATACAGGTGCATCTCAAATTAGAATGTCACAATCATGTATTTACAGATGGTGAACCCCACATCATACTGCCATCTCAACACAGCGGAGACAGTTCTGCTGCTGTGCTGTGCTTCACAATCTCGCTCTTCTCAATGGGGACATCGTTGAGCAAGAGGATGAGGAAGACCATGATGACGGCTCTCTGAACCACACAACCTTGAGGCAAGAGCAGGGGAGCACATGCGGGACAATCTGGCTGCCACTGTGTCTGCTCCAAACATTTGTGTGCTGCTTTCCATGAGCACCACTACCTGTAACACATTTAAACGGAGTTAAACATTTTACAGTTCATGTTGTCAGCTTTCCATTTCTTGCCAAATTTAATTTCATGTTTACAATTACATGCTTTTGTTGTAGCTTTATTACTTTTGTAGTGGGCTAAACCACTGAAGTGGTGAGCAGAAGTTTGCTGGTTCAAAACCACCAGTATGTCCTTGAGCAATCCAGGTCGTTCCAGAGGATTGTAGATCCCTGTAATAAGAGCACTGTAAATCACTTTGGATAAAAGCTTCATGACATTTTTTGATGATGCTTTTGAAGGTCTGCCTTCATTGTATGAACAGAAACCAGCAGAACAAACTTGACCAAAATCACATCCTCAGTGTCTTTTGGTGTTTCTCTAGATGCTCTCGCTGGCTCTGGGGTCACTGAGGATGAAGAGACCACAGCAACATCTGGTCCAGATGAGGCAGTAAGAGGTGGAGTGATGGAGCGTCTCATCCATGGCACTGGACCATTTCCAGGATGCTGCTGTGGACTTCTCCATCCTCACTGCTCACAGCAGTCTGCAGACATTTCAGTACATTACAATACAAAAGCAGTCATTTTAACAGCATAATGTCATCTGATTTCTGTATTGGAAGTAACAAAATTATCTTATTTATATTTTTGTTTAAGGTTTTCACTTTTTTTCCCACAAATGTCGCTGTCACCTTGCCTTGCAGGTCTTGCTCCACCAGAAAAGATCTGCAGCAAATGCACAGAAATCAAGAATAAGAAAAATGCTGTAATAGTTGTTTGAAATTACAATAATTAATATAAACTACAACTTAAGATTTAAAAAATGTGTATATATCATTCCTTCATCAGTCACTCTTCACTGGATAAACACACGTGTGTCTCATCTGTCCCTGTAACATCCAGACAAGAGTCAAGT